CTTTTCAAACGGACTCAAAGGTCCCGTGACATTAACTTCATAGAAGGTCCTCCAGCTTCCAAAAGTATAGGGCGTCTACTTGAATTTACCTGAGGAGCAGCCTCACGAAACATGGCATATTTTGTATGTAAAATTGACCGTCCACGATACACTATCTCCGAATTGCGATTTATTAAAAAAAATCTGTTTCGGCAATATCCATTTGTTCAACAGCACACTTATTTGTTCGAGTTAAGTGGCATTTTGGGCCATGTTGTGATTTTAAATATAGCCAAGGGGGCAAAAATGGTCTTTTATAGCCTTTTAGTGAATCATAACAATATTCACCATAGATATGTGCTCGTCCCCGCGCTACCGTATAGACTACCACAACCGTGTATGGAGGAACAGGAAGACGAGTCACAGAGTGCTTTATATATAAGAAGGAAATTTACAAGCGAGGAGCTCGATGTGGGAAAAAACTCAGACGATGCTGGAGTGTGGTATTGGTGCCGTAAGGCAGTGCTCGGTCGCAGAGGATAACGACGGGACCAGGGAAGCGATGGGGTAAAAAGTGTCAGTCGAGGGGATTTCTGACTTTTGTGTATTTTTTGTGCCACGTTCTGATTGGCTCAAAGGAGAGGCTCGATGTGGGGACTAGATTCGCCTGGTCCCCGTGGCACACAAAGCCGGTGTGTCATGCTCCGCTTGGTGTTGTGTGAGTCGAGAGATGACCGTGAAATGTGGCCAAACCGATTGTGGAGTGAAGTCACCACAGCCTTGTGACCCCGAATCAACTATTGGATGCCCTGGAGAGCTCATCACGTACTTTCTAACTCTGTCGTCCACTCTTCTCTCATGAATTTTGGGCGGACTTGGTGGCCAAACGCATTCTGGTGGCCTGCCTTTGCATGTGCGCACGTGAAAGAAGACGAGATGAGTCTGTACCTGCAGCCAATTCCTACTCACACTTTACACTAGACAAGCCCTCTTCAGTCTAACTGGTTCTGTAACTGCGTCTCCAACATGGCCAAAGCAGCTTTTTGCGTCTCCCCTTTGCCAATGTGGGGTGGAAGCGTGGAGGTGGTAGCGATCGGCCATGACGTGCTGGTGACCGGCCTGCGAGATGAGCTGCCTCAGTTTA